AAAAAAAATTTTTTTGAGACAGAGCCTCAAGCTGTCACCCTGGGTCAAGTGCCATGGCATCACACCTCACAGCAACCTCCAACTCCTGGGCTTAAGTGATTCTCCTGCCTCTGCCTCCCAAGTAGCCGGGACTACAGGTGCCCGCCACAATGCCCGGCTATTTTTTGGTCACAGTCATCATTTGGTGGGCCCTGGCTGGATTTGAATCTGCCTGCTCAAGTGTAGGTGGCTGGCACCTTAGCCACTTGAGCCACAGGTGCTGAGCTCCCACTCCTGATTTAGTAGGTCCAGAGTGGGCCTGAGAACTTGCCTAACAAGTTTTCAGGACTAGGTAATAGAAATTTATGTTTCTTTCTCATCATGTTCCCTTCAGGTAGGGAAGACTTATGAGCTACTCAACTGTGACAAGCACAAGTCTATGTTGTTGAAGAATGGACGGGACCCTGGGGAAGTGCGACCAGACATAGCCCATCAGGTGACTCCACAAATTGCTCACACCCGTTTGAGCCTGTTGTGGGAGGTAAGGCATCTGAGTGCTGCTTCTTTTCATCCTTAACTTTGCCTTGGGTCCTGCCTTCCTCAGAGTTTACTGATGCTGATGGACAGTCCCTTGAACCGAGCTGGCTTGCTGCAGGTTTATATCCACACGCAGAAGAATGTTCTGATTGAAGTGAATCCCCAGACTCGAATTCCCAGAACCTTTGACCGCTTTTGTGGACTTATGGGTGAGAAGCCTTAGGACTTAAAGTTCAGAACAAAGTTGGCAATAGTGAAGAAAGGAGGAAGAGGAGAGGAAGAATTAAAGGTGGAATTTTTTTAAGTGGGGGTGGGAAGAACAACATGATTGATACCAGGACAAAGACTCTTCTACATTATTTTTCCAGTACCCCTCCTTTTATGCAGTGGATTCCTGGCTGAATGAAAAAGAGAGTCTGAACGCATCATTATACTATCCTATAGTTCATATACTATTGACAGCTTAACATTTCAGGATATAAAAGATGCATGGAATCCATCTTACCCATGGGTTTTCCTGGTTAGATTACTGGGCTGCAGGAGTGTGGTCTTCACCAAGGTATGAACTTTTTTTTCCCTCCCTCCTAGTCCAGCTTTTACACAAACTGAGTGTTCGAGCAGCTGATGGCCCCCAGAAGCTCTTGAAGGTGAAGTATTGAAACTTACTGGTTGAAAGTCAAGTTCTGGGAATGTTTCTGGGACTGATTTTTCTCTTTTCTTAAAAATTTAGGTAATTAAGAATCCAGTATCAGATCACTTCCCAGTTGGATGTATGAAGATTGGCACTTCTTTCTCTATTCCAGTAGTCAGTGATGTACGAGAGTTGGTACCCAGCAGTGATCCTGTTGTTTTTGTGGTGGGGGCTTTTGCCCATGGCAAGGTAAGGTTTGGGGTTAGCGTTTTTTTATTTTTTTGAGACAGACTTTCAAGCTGTCGCCCTGGGAAGAATGCCATGGTGTTACAGCTCACAACAACCTCCAACTCTTGAGGTTAAGCGATTCTCTTACCTCAGCCTCCCAAGTAGCTGGGACTGCAGGCGTTCAGCACAACTCTTGGCTTTTTTGTTGTTGTTGTTGTTGCAGTTGTCATTGTTTAGCTGGCTCCGGCTGGGTTCAAACCTGCCAACCCTGGTCTATGTGGCCAGCACCCTACTCACTGAGCTACGGGTACTGCCAGCTCTTCCATTCTTCACAGAGCTGAAGCATAGTACAGCGTTCCCAGAGCTGTTATCCTTGTGCTCACTAGTTAGGAGACTGAATATACGAACAGAGTTATAAGACAAAAATGCCAGTTTCACACCCTGCCATGGGGCATATCCTTTGAGGACTGTTGCCATATTTGTAATAGTCACAGCTAGGACTTTCTCCATCCTTTGTAGAAATTTGGTATTAAATATCATTGCTGAAATAGTGGCTCTGCCATAGTTTTCCTGACGTAAAGAAGGGCTGAACCTGTTGCAGAGTGATACAGTCAGCTGACCAAAGTCTTCTCTCCTTAGGTCAGTGTGGAGTATACAGAGAAAATGGTGTCCATCAGCAACTACCCCCTTTCTGCTGCCCTCACCTGTGCAAAACTCACCACAGCCTTTGAAGAAGTATGGGGGGTCATTTGACAGTAGTAGAATCTTATTCTGAAACCAAAGACTGCTGACATCACATCCCTTGGCCCTGTTCTGAGCCAACTGCTAGAAGATGAACTACCAGCACTGAGACTGGGGATTGGGGGAGCCAAGGCTGTTGTGCATTTGCTATTTGTTTGTCTTATAAATGCTGTTCTTATAAACTGGGTTGTTTTGGGGGTTCCTAAACTCAGCAGTGCCCAATGGTGTGAGCCATTCCCCTTAAGACTTCAGACTGCTGTGAAGTTAGAATTAGTGGTTTGATTCTAGGCACTGAATGCAGGCTTTAGCTCCAGATTTCCTAGGATCCTGTGCTCTAAAGGAGAGAGCCCTGATTATTTCAGCTATGCCACTTACGGAGAACTGTGTCTGAAAGAAAGCAGTCAGGAATACTAGCAGTGAAAAACCGAACAAACAGAAGTGATTTTATCTGGTACAGTTCCAAGGTAGAAAAAGTGGAGCAGGCAGGGCCTTGCACCCCTCCCCTCCCCCCCATGGGGGGGGTGGCGGTAGCGGCACATATACAATCATAGTAAATTGGCAGAAGAAAAACACAACAGATTCCTGGCTGGAGGGGGAGAAATAAGGCAACGTGCATGGGGGAGCCCAGAAGGGAGACTTGGGCCCCTCTGCTCCTCCCACAAGAGTTTCCCCTTTGGCCCCAAATGAAGACTTGGCTGGCAGCAGAGGCACAGCTGGGAGCGCCATGTCTTCCAGCTCCCTGGCTTTTCTGTTCTCTGTGCTCTGGGGTGAGGGAGTGCTGTGAAAAGGGAGACAAGTGGTTTCTGCACCAGTCCTGCTGTAGGCCACCTGTAAGACAAGACGGTTGGTTGCAAGGCTGGTTAGAGGTACTTCTAGTCCCTGGTCTGTGGCCCTTCTAGCTTCTTCCTAGTGTACCCCTGTAAGTTGCAGTAGTCAGTACTCAAGCTGTGTTCCTGAGTAGCTGGGCTACCTTGAAGTTCACTCCAGTTGCCAATACTACCTGTTTTGTGGAGACAGTCTCACTCTGTCACCCTGAGTAGAGTGCAGTGGATATCATCATTTTGTTTTGAGACAGAGTCTCATCTTGTCACCTTTGGTAGAGGGCCATGGCATCATAGCTCACAGCAACCTCAAACTCCTGGGCTTAAGACATTCTCTTGCCTCAGTTTCCCGAGTAGCTGGGACTATAGGTACCCACCCCAACACCCAGCTATTTTTAGAGATGAGGTCTTGCTCTGGCTCAGGCTGGTCTCGAACCTGTGAGCTCAGGCAATCCACCTGCTTTAACCTCCCAAGTGCTGGGATTATAGGCATGAGTCACAGTGCCTGGCACAGAGTGCTAAGATTACAGGTGTGAGCTACCATGCCCGACCCCAATACTACCTTTCCCCCAAGTCTACTGCTATATCTTCTAGCCTGGTAGTTTTAGCTTAGCTGTAGGACATTGACTTACCAGGGAAATAGATTATTCTATTTTCTTTGACTTCTCTTTTCTTGGCACCATTGCTTTGTGAATGTAAGGCAGTATGAATAAAAGGCTCAAGAAGAAGACGTGGCCAAGAAAATAGATGGATTTATACACCTGTGGGGAGAGAGAGATTACTGAGGAAGATGTAAGGCACTGAGTATCCCTTGCTGCTTGAGGGTACAGTGATTCTGTCCCACCCTGGCAAGCAGGTCTTTACTTACCTTAAACCATTTGTCCCACGTGAAGAGGCAGAAGGCAGTCATGGAGTAACCCATGAAGAGCCAGTGGATGGTCTGTTGCACCAAATAGAAGAAGGGTTGTAGGACAGTAATGGAGGCCAGGTTGCTCAGGGCTGGGCTCTCTCGTATTAGCCTGGCAGCCTGGGGAGGAAGGAGGGAGGTCAACAGTGTCTTATCTCTCTCATAGTCCCCTTTCACCCATACCCCTGAGGCCTACCTGTCTTTCCACAATAACAATGAGGAATTCCATCTGGAAGCAGACCAGGTATCCTGAGTGCAGGCCATGCCAGAGAGCCAAGAATAGCAACGAGAGACCCTGGGATAGTACTTTATTTCCCAGGAACTTGAGACGTTTGAAGAAGTAACTAGAGAAGAGGATGGGGAGGGATAAGCCTCAGATGGACAAATCCTTGTACCCCACTGTCCTGTGATCCTACATTTGGTTCTCATGTCCTAATGATATCTGGCTCCTACTTACAGACCCCAGGGGGTATGGGAGGCAGCAACGACTGATTAGAGATGGAAGGCAGTCTTGGTTTAGAAACAGAAGATAGACCCAAGGTATAGCTAGTGACTGTGGGTAAGCCACCTGGCTCAGCAGGTAATGACTGAGTGCCTAAGTGCCTGATCCTACAGGTCAGTGGTAGACCAGGCAGACTATTCCCTACTTAGTGGGCTCATGCTCTAAGGGTAGGGACAAGTGAGTAAACAAAGATGTTTATAAACAGGGCAATGGAGTGCATAAAACCAGTAGAACTGTAATTAATACCTAAGACTCAAGTCACTTTTTTTTTTTGAGAGTCTTATGTCACCCTGGGTAGAGCGCCATGTTGTCACAGCTCACAGCAACCTCAAACTCTTGAGCTTAAGCGATTCTCTTGCCTCAGCCTCCCAAATAGCTGGGACTATAGGTGCCCACCACAATGCACGGTTTTGCAGTTGTAGTTGTCATTGTTTGACAGGCCTGGGCTGGATTTGAACCTGCCAGCTCCAGTGTATATGGCTGGCATCCTAGCCACTGAGCTACAGGTACTGAGCTTCAAGTCACTTTGAGATGGGTTTCCCTATACGTCAGGCTTGGCCTTGAACTCCTAGGCTCATACCATCCTGTCACCTCAGCCTCCCAAGTAGCTGGGACTACAGGAGTGTGCATCCACTCCCAGCATCAAGGCACTTTTTTATCTTGCTTTTGTTTTCTGAATACACCAGGAACAGTTTTTCAGTGTAGGGACAAAAGTCAGTGCATGTGAGAGTGACTGGAGGTTCTACCCAAGTGGGGAAGATGGAGGGGGCATGATACATCCCTGCCTTCCCCATCTGGGAAAGGAATATAAGGAAGATCCAGGGTCCAGGCCGCAGTGGCTTACCGGGCCACCCAGGCATTGGTGTTGATGTTGAAAGAGGCGATGGTGCCAGTGAAGCGAGGGGTTGTTTCAAAGAGCCACACCTTCATGTTGGCACAGGCATCCCACTTTGCCTTGCCATTTTCTTCAAAGCCATTGAAGCCCAGCCCGGTCAAAATGCATACTCCTTCCTGAGAGAGAATAGCTTGATTAGGGTTTTTGCCATCCCACCCCTGCCACAGGCCCCTACAGTGTGTATAAATATGGCTGTCTCATCTTTTCTACTTACCGTGACCAGCCAACAGGTGACGTATTTGTATAGCACAAACTTGCCCCAGACTAGCATGTACATGCAGCGGAACCAGAAGGGCTGGTTCTTGAGAGAAGGAAGAGCACACATGTGTTAGAGATGTCCCACAGCAAGGCAGTTTCCCTTGGTGCCCTTCCTTTTCACACTTGGGGTTGGCTACTTCATACCTGTAAAAGTCCTGCTGTCAGATGTCGCCTGACAGTCTGCCCTAACTGCCTTCACACAGGCTGGGAGGAAGAAGCAAGGGGCCCACCCATTCACTGCCTTTTCTTGGAGAGTCCCAGGGACGGCACTGTCCTTAACTCTTTTCTCCTTTGCCTTCAATCACAAAGCACTGAGCATTTGACATGCTAAGTACAGAGGGACTAGACATACCCACATTTGATGTTACTTTAAGCAGAGAAACCTACCCAGGGTGATCATGGAACTGTTGATGGGCAGTAGCAAAGGCCACACTTCCCCTTCCTTTGGTTTCTGAATTCCCTAGAAGCCCCCAAATCTACCAGTTGAGAAGAGAAAACAAGCTGGAGAATCAGAAGCTGCTGTGCTCCAAGGAGTTGGATATAATAAAGCAAGCTAAGAGCTGCTCCTGGGGAAGGTAAGGGGTGCTAATAAGTGCACCTGGCACAGCCCTGTGCCCACGAAGTCGTTCAGTGCTGGCTGACGAGCGTGGCCCGGCCCGGCTGGCATTGACACCAACTCTCACAGATCTAGAGCAAAACCAACATGTATTTGTAGATGGCATTACCTACTTCTCTGCTATCTATGGGGATCCTTGCCTGTCCATTTTCTAGTTCTGGTGCAGTCATACTGCTGTTGCTTTAGTAACCACTCACTTCATAGTCTTCAGTGAGGAGATAGTCTTCTGTGATGTGGGGGCTGAGCAGAGTGTAGCCCACCAGGTAGACAAGGCCCAGACTCAGGCGCTTGAGAGCAGGTATGGTGCTGGAAAGGAACAAGCAGGGTCACAGAGGGCAGAGTCCATTCCCTTCACCCTCTTGACCTTAAGCTATGGAGAGGAGTGTTTGGGGGCATGGTTATCCACTCGAATGGGATGAGGACCTCTGCTGCCCAAAGTCTAGACCGTGTCAGGGAAAGACATCTTTTCCACATGGTTGGCTATGTAATGTGGCTTGTAAGCCTGAGGGTTCTGGGAAGGTCGGGGCAGCAAGGGAGTGTGTGGATGAGTCTTGTGCTGTTTACCATGCAGGACTGCTGCTGATCTTGAGGTGTCACTGGGATTCTCAGTCTTCACTGAGACTGAAAACTCAGTGGAGATAAGATAGAGATAACTAATTTGAATCTGTTCCTTCCTATTTTGGTTGACTTGATACCGAAACAAAGGCTAGACAAATTCTCAGTGAAGGAATTCTTTTGGTAACTAACTTCTGTTTTCAGCTGATACATATATTTATCTACATTTTTATAAATTAACAATCTATTTTAATTTTTTAAAATGAGGAAAGGGCTTTAAAGGCAGAGATGTTCTTTAAACTGGTTCAGGCATAATCCTGTGGCATAAAAATGAACTTTTATGTTCATGCTACAGGGTCAAAATGGCTGGCTGGAATTAAAATAAGCTGAAGAGGGCATACTCCCAGCAGTGAGCAAGTAGAGTGCCCATCACCCCAGTCCAGGGCCTGTGTGACATAGATCCCTGTGCCAGGACCATGCTGGAGAATGCAGCCAGGATTGGCCTTCAGGAAAGTCACTTCAGAATGACTGCTTGGTGAGAAACCTACACAGAAGTCTTGACCAAGAAGGGCAATTACCTGTTTGGTATCTTCCCTGGTATGTCAGTCAGCTGTCCCTGCACC